GAAGTATAGACCAATCTTTTTAATATAGACACAAAAACACTCAACAAGATACTGGCAACAGAAGGCATCAAATCATCAAAAAGATCATACGTTACCACCAAGTAAGCTTCATCCCAGGGATGAAAGGATGGTTCAACATATGCAAATCCACAAATATCAAACTGCTGCTATAACATAGACCATATTCTCTGACCATAAAATGAAATTTAAAAATATAATTTAAATGTCTTGTGTACTTTTATTCATAAAATCTAAAGAAGAAATCAAAGTAAGTTTAGAAAATAAGTACAGCTAAGCAATGAAAAGAGTTCTAGGAACTTTGGGGATGTATAGGAGATGTGCTTAGAGATAATTTATTGCTTGAATGCTAATTGTAAAAAACGAAATTGAAAGGCTCCACATCTAAGAGTCAGGCATTCTAAAATTTAAGGAAATAGATTGTAAAATATTAAATATACTCTAAAGATAAGGAATATAACAAATATATAACATAAAATATTTTAAACACCAAGATTATTTTTTGACATAAATGAAATTGACAAACTTCTGAGAAGATTCATCAAGTATTTTTAAAGAAGACAAATGATTTTAGAAATTATAAAGGCATGGAAGTTCACATAGAGCAGAAAGTTTTAAAAAGGAATATTATAAATAAGTGTTCACCCATACAATTTTATAAAGTCAACAAAATCCTAGCAAAACCTAACTCAGAGTCGAGCATGGCCTTGCAGAATTGGGCGCCTCTAGCAGCCTGGGCCTGGAGGACAGGTGTGAGCAGGCCAGCAAGTCACTGTCAGCACCTTGGGCAGGAACAGCGCAGGAGGCTGCACTCTGCCTGAAGCCCTGGTCCCTATGGTGCTGTGCAGTCCTTTCTGTTTTCTAACTGCTGCTACAGGGCTACTGTTTGTCTTAAGCTTCTTCAGGTTTAATGAAGCAAATAAATGGAAATCCTTTGTTTGGTAATATGAAAACAAAATTGAAATGTTGTTTTTTTAGGAAGAAAATGGTAGTTTTTTCCTCTCTATGAAGAAAATATGGGATAATCAACTCTAGAGAGAGCTGTTGGTGGTGACAATCCCTGGGATGTGGAGCCAAAGCAGAGCCTGAGATGTGGAGGAATGGAAGGGGAAGAGGAGAGGTAAGCAGCACAGTGGGAAGTGATACAGGACAGGATCACCCAGCAAAAGGCAATGCTCCTCTCCAAGGGAGGAATGCAGGGTGATACCTGACGTGCCATTTTATAAAATAAACTTGGGAATCAGATCATTTCTATTGTGTATAAACAATGCTGCATAGGGTCTGCAAAGCTGGAGTGACCAGACAAAGAAAATTGGGCAGAGAGCCAAAAGTAGAAGACAGAAGAATGGAAGGAATGTGTCTGAGTGCTGGAAGAACATACACAAGCCAGAAACGTAGAAGGAGCTCAATTACTCCCACTTTGAGAAGTAAGGGGACAAGAAATTTTAGTTTTCTTAATTTCTTAAAAAGAAATAGAATACTTTGACTCAACATGAATTACTAACTCCTTTAATATTAAAAACTTTCTCCTCTGGAGTCTTAATTATAAAATATCTTTCCTTTTTCATTAAGTTTTATAAAATTTCCTCTGATGTATCTTTGTCTATGTGAATATATTAAACATTTAATTATTTTCATGACTTTCCTGGCATTTTTATTATTCTCTTTATCACAGAACATTTTGGAATAAAAGGCTTCCTTTAGTCTTTATTTAATTTCTTTATGAGATGCAGAAAAGTAAAAAAGGGACAGTGAAAATCAAATCCCACTTCTTTTGTCCTATTTTACCCATTTTCTGCTGTTTTCAATGTTTATACACTGAACAGTATATGAAACAAAATAGTGCACCAGGCCACACTGGCAATTTATTAAAATGAAGTCATTAGTGTATAGACTGCAGCAATTAGGAATAATTTTATCAAGGGACACAATCTGTATGTAAAAGTCATATTATACATGGTTTGGAAACTTCTTAAAGTATACATCATGTGGCATTCTTGAATGTGAAACTAAGATAACGTGTTTGAACACCCTTTTCCATACAACATGGTCATTTTTCTATGTCATATAGGAAAGTTACTTTAAAAAATCAGAGCCCAAAATTTGCATGTGAGACAAAGAGAGCTAGTAGTGTTTTTAAAATAGTACTGTACTCTCTACAAAATGTCCTTTTCCCGTCCTATTAAATATGAAAAGAAATATAACTTAAAGACCAGCAGAATAGCATTTTCATAGCCACCTAAAGGCACTCATCATAAAAGAAAGAAACAAACAAAAAGGTCTGTCTTCAAACTTTTTAAGTAATAGTGACATCATAACTGAAACAGCCCAAACCCACTGAGTTCCTGGAGGAAAGAGAACTTCATGAGTGAAGAATCATCTGTATGATGATATTTTGCTTTTTGGTCTCAGGGGAGAAAGCAGTGTACAACTGCTTGTGTTTTACATATGTCATAGTGACTTTTTTCTTAATTTTCCAATTGTAACATTTCTTCTTTGCAACAAACACAATAAAAACTTAATATATTTGGTGATTGTAAGAAAGAGAGAGAGGAAGTCAATAGTATGTGAGAGCCAAATTAAAGCCATATTGCTGTTAATTAACTTAAAAATTTCACTGTGAAATTTTAAAGTGTAAGGCCTAAAAATCAATTTTTGTAAATAACTGTATAGTGCAGAATGCAGGGTGTAGGAGAGAGGGCAAAAAGACAAGATTAAAATGAAAGTGCTCAGCCAAAGAGTGTAATGAGAAAAGCCTACCAGTTCATGCAAATGTGAAAGGGAAATTGGAAGCAAAACAGAGGGAGAGAGACCACCCAAAACATAAGAAGGTAGACGTTTAGGTGAAAATGCAAACTTGGTGAATTAGATTTTAATGGAGTCCAAAAGGATTAGCGACATATGGTAGAGGGAATCACTGGCAAAATAAATCCAAAATATAGTGGAAGATCCTCTCCCCAAGTGAAACCATAGTAAGACACAGCAAGAAATAAGTCAAGATATAAGTCAAGAAATTGTTCCTGAAATAAAATAAGACTTGAACCAACATTTTGTGGAAAAGATAAAAATGAAAACAGAACACATGCTTCTGGGCAAAATAATCTAGGGCACTAAAATGCTGAAATAACACATTAGCAACTTCCTAGGCTTGTCCATGAAGAAAGACTCCTTCAGTCACCCAGGCAAGTGAAAGCTTTCCAAGTGCTATGAGGCCAGGAGAAAGGACGGGGCAGCCCTTCCTATCACTCTGTACTTCAACCATGAGGCAGGAGCCTTTGAATTCTCAAGAATTCAGAAGTGTTACATCACAGGAAGCCCTTCCTCCCCTCAAGGCTCACTGAGGTAAATTCACCCACTCAAGAGGTGGTTGAGACACAGTATGGAAGGAAACTCCCCATACTCCAAACCTACAAAAGCAGATCCTGTAGGCAGCTCCAGACAGTGTGGCCACCTTTGCAGGACCCAGGCTAATGCAGACCCCCCAACAAGCCACTCCTTGATGCCCAATCATGGAAACTGGGTAAAATCCTCCTAGCTTACTAAGTTTTAGAGAAACTTGCACAACAACTGGTAACTAAAGCAAAGTTTAAAAATCATTGAATTTGTAAAGGTTGTGGAATTGAGAAGAGTTTTGTTTGTGGTACTGAGGTTTGAATCCAGGGCCTTCACACTGAGCTACATCTGCCACTGAGCTACATCTGCGATCCTTTTTCATTTTCACTTTTTATTTCTGAGACAGGGAGTCATTAGTTTGTTAAGTTGCCCAGGCTGGGCTTACACTTGTGCTCTTCCTGCCTCCGCCTCCCATAATGCTGGCTTCAGGGCAGAGAGCCACCATTCTTGACTCTTCCCGCCTGCAGGGTGGTGAGAGGGCCTCCTGCATTCCTCTTGGGACTGATAGATGTCCCCGCATCTATACAACCCTGGGCTTGGGCTGGGCCCTGGCTGGGACACCCTAAGGGCTACAAGCTATGGCAGGAGGCATACTAACTTCTGTTTGCCACAGTAGATTCTGAAAGCCTTGGAGAGGCCTGCACGGCAGGTGTTTAGATGAAGTTTAGCACAGACAAATGTGGCCAGAAAGGAGAACCTCAGCCAGGACACAGCTCAGAGCCTGGACCCTGTGGAGCACACTGGGTAGCCTGGAGCCAAATAGCAGATCAAATCAGCTGGATGGTCCTAATCAGGATCTGGAAGAAAAGGTAATGTTCTCACTGTGGAGGTTGTGTTCCTAGTGAATGAGGGGCTCCAAGAAATCACCAACTTCTGGGATCTGCTGTGACCCCTATCTCCTTGAAGTGGTGAAACCTCACAGGGCTTGAAGGAACAGGGTGACAAGGAGTGGGTTGGGAAACCCAGGACATAGTAGGCCAGGGCCCATCCTTCATGCCAGGTTGATGAGAACCCCACGGCAGCACTGCAGGTTTTCCAGTTCCCACCCCTACCCAGGGGTATGGCTAGAGATGGATGGGACCTGGGCTCCATTGTTTTACACATTGGCTGTGTGCTTGGAATTAAATCATTTCATTATAAAATTCCATTTTATAATAGCTAGCATCCAAATACCAGCACAGGAGGAGCTCTGTAATTGTAACTCAGATCTTCCAATCCTGAGCTGCTGCTGACAAGAGACACAAGGAGCAGACACCAGTTCGACCAGATCCCACCAGTTACATGGAGCCTGGCATCGGGAGCTGAGCTGTCACAGCAAATGGGTAGCATGAGGCGTGGCCTGCTGAGTCCCACCCAGGTTGCCTGAGGAAAGATTTACAAGCCATCATCAGGACAACTCAAAAGATGGGAACTCCGCTCAAAATGAAGGACTGTAGTGTACTTTCTGTGAATTATAATGTGCTCTTAAAGTTGGCTTCCATTTTTCTACTTTATATCTTAACATTGGCTCTTCATTGGTTTAAGAAAAATTTTAAATTTTAAACTTTAAAAAATCTACAAAAGTAATCACAAAGCTTGGGTGACCCTACCTCCAGACAGGACGCGCTGAATCACGGAGATATATTCCCTGGGCTCCTGCTGGGTCGACAGCTCCCATCTGCCTGCAGAGATGTTTAGTGACTCATACAGTGGGGCCACGCTCCTAAGCCCACACAGCAGGGTGATCACGCTGGCTGGAGAGTCCAGCACCTTCTCCAGAAACTCAGACTTCTGTGGCGTGAGGTCTTGAAGCACACTGCTGGATAGTATCAAAAGCTTACATTTGTAAGAGGTTAAGCTTAACAACTGCAAGTGCCGCAGGGAGAAGCCCTCCAAGCAGTATAGCAGGATCCCTTCTCTCGCCACAGTCTGTGAAAACAGCGTCCTCAGGTACACAGCCCAGTCCTTGGCATCATCTTCGTACATCACAAGGATGGCCTTTGTGTTTCCTGGAAGAAAAAATATTGCACTGAGTGTCTTATGTTTGAAATGCTAGCAGCAGGTTATGTTATTATTTCTCAAAGTATTAAATACAGCTCTTAGGCACTATACTAACATACTTATACTGGGGATCAATGGTGATTCGTGTTGTCCTCCTTGGAATCACATGGGGTGAAAGTCATCATTAAAATGTCACAAATACACTTCATGCAAGTTTGGGCTGGGTGCACACAGTGTGCATTGTGGTCCGCAGAGAACAGACACTCTGCTAGGGTGTGGGGCTCCCAGGCCTGGCTCCAACAGCAGCCCAAATCCGCCCTCTATCTGCCATGTCACTCTTTTCCAACCATTGCTTCCAAATGAAAGTTTTATAAAAGAAGTCTTGCCAAGTTAACGGAAGCACTTTGAGACAAGCAAACGAATTCACACTAAAGGTACTTCTTCTAGGTAAAGGTGGGCACTAAAGTCAGATTATAGGATTTCCATCCTCAAAGAGCCAGCAAGATAAACATCTATTTAAAAAGATGAAAGAGATTCAGTGGCAAAAACCAAATTAATGGGGCTCCTGAGTCATAAAGAAAGAGGCCAATGCCATGGCTGGAAGGTGTCAGCTCACTCAAAGCCCACCTGCACCCAGAACCGTAGTGATGCAGAGTCAGGGTCCTCAGCCCTTCAGGTCTTCACTCTCTTCCTGTCCAGCACAGCCAGGGCATCTGTGGACATGGGCAGCCAGGTCAGAGCCTGCCCCCCAAGTCCTGCCATGGGGAGGGGAGGATCCAGGAGAGGATTCTCCACAGGTCCCAACAGTGATGCCCACCCATGATGGTCCCAGAGAAGCACACAACTTCCTGTCTTGCATCCCTCAGATTATGACGTGGATCTGAGAGCAGATCCTGCCCCTCCAATGTAGGTAGAGGAAAAATGATTCAGGTAGTCTTCCTCAGCACACCAGGTCCATTTTCACCTGTGTTGAAATTGAGCTTTCTTTTTACATTTGCATTGGATATATGCTTTGTCAATAACCTCTATATGCCAATTTTCAAAAGCCTGAATATGAGCATTCAATGTCATTCCTCTCCTCTCTGCAACACATGATGTATTTCACACTTTGTTCTTTACTTTTCTCAGTTACCGAGATTTTCCAAGGACTGGAAAGGCTGGGGAAAAGTTCCCAGCATGGTGCCTTGAGTCGTCAGGAACTGTGTGCAGTGCATCCTTCATTATTTTCTGATTAAGATTAGCGAGATTAGGCTAGGAACTGAAACAATAAAAGATGACCATGAACATAGAATACAGAATTTTAATTCCTGGAAAGCTGCACTAGAACAAAAGAACACTATCTTGAAGATGCAATTAAATTATGCAGATAAATTATTTAAGATTTAAATCTTCAATCTAAAGTAAATAATAGCATTATTCAATGGTTTGGCAGGAACAAAATAGAGCAATGCTAAATCTTATAAATTTATTGTGAAGGGTGCTTTCAGATTCAATAATGTTTTATTTATTTATTCTGCTTACAAAATACTTGAAGTTTTAAAGTTGAAGGAAATTTGCATCAATAATTTGTATCAATAATTACTCTTACAAGCAAATCAAATTATACTGCATTTTATCAAAAGATGAGGCTAAACATGAAATCCTATTGTATACGCACAGCTCCACACAAAGCAGCAGGTTTTGTTCTCTTTGAGCAAGATTCAGTCTCATACAAAAGTGTATCTTGTGCACAGTGGAAAAAGATTGCATGATGTATCTTTTCAATATTATTTTTTTTCTAGCTTGTAGCCAAAGTGCAGAAGAAAAGAAAGTAGAAGATTATAAGAAATACATGGTAGTTATAAGAAACTGAGGAGTGGCGACATGAACATTAAGCCTGATCTAATCACCACATCTATACAACATACTTAAATTATACAGTAAGTAAACTTGAATTGGTATATGTTCCAACTTTGTAATATTATTTCTAGTACAACAGAGGAACAAAAGAGGAATTTCCAAAGATCTTAAAATTGTGAAATACACAGAACTCATATTCCTCCTTTAGGACAGAGGGTCAACGTCACTTACTGGTAATGGTAGAAAATACCAAGCACTTCTTGTGTAATCTATATGCCTGACAGTCAGGTGCTTAGCAGCTGACTACGTCCTCCCTGTGTTTCACTGCCCTGGGACTCAACTCTGGTCCTGCCAAGCCTCTCTCTGTGCCCCTGCCCAGCAGTTCATAAGCACTATGTGTTGGAGTACCGAGGGGCCTGTGTCTGCCAGTGAGGGAGAGAGCTAGTGTGTGAACACCGAGCTTCTCCACCCTGGAGGTTCTGAGGTCCTTTCTTCACAAAACGCAGAGGGTTGCAGAGACAATGAAATTTTAGTGTATGTGCTGCAGAGGAGAGCATGGGTCCAGGTGTTATAGTTGCTCCTTGCACCATTCTACTTGCTGGCATACACATTGCAGACTTCTCTCTTGTCTCACAGTCCCCATTCTCTCACTCATGTTTCCTGGGCTCACCCTGAACCTCAGAGCTTTCTTCAGAAATTTCTATATACATACATTCTTTAATTTTGTTCTTTTTAAATGGGTAAAGTACTAACACATCATTTAAGATTATGTTTTTCAGTGATAATAAAGGAATGAACAGCAGAAATTATTTTACAGAAATTCTGGACTTACTCTTTTTTGTTCTCCTTAAGGTGTACACAAATACTACTATGCCTCACACAGCACCCAGAGAAGGGAATTTTTCTTTTATGTAAATAAGTATAGCACTGCCTTAGTTACTTTTCTCATTGCTATGACAAAATATCCAAAGTTAAGTGAGAGAAAGTTTATTTGGCTCATAGTTTATAAAGGTTTCAGTCCATAATTGGCTGTTCCAAGACAGGGGCAGTATGGCAGAGGGGCATCACAGAGAAATGGTCCATGGCAAAGCAGGGCAGGCAGAAGGAAGCCAGCAGTGAAGCAGCAATAAGCAAGGGACAATAGCAGTTTCTTTCTGCCCCTTTCATATTCTATCAAGGCTACCTGCTTAGGGTGGGTTTCAAACCAATCAGTAGACCAATTTATTAACCATATACTCTTAAAAATACATTCTAGATTCAGCTACCTCTGAAAGCCCCACCTATGACTGCATGGGACTTTGGGAGACATCTTGACGCAAGCCTTAGCAAGCATTATTTTGAAAGTATCTCTTTTTACTTCACATATATAAACTCAGAATGTTCAATTCTCACCTCTGATCACTTTTAGACCTAGTAGACCAATTCAAAATTTTTTTAAAAGTACCTAATAGGATTGTTGAGCGTATACACTGAAAAACTTCCTATTAAGTATTTGTCATGAGGTATGGAAAATTGGGACTGAGGAATTATCAGTGCTTTCCATTGAGACTGCCTACCTCTGAAAACAGGAAAGGTTTATTTCAATTCCTGAAATATTACCTCAGTAATAAAATATAAAGATTAAGTGTACATTAGCTTTAAAATAAGTGATTAGTTTTAAATTTCTATATTATTTATAGACATTGGACAAAATTAAAGAAAATAACATCTCTATCAATATAGAGATAACGGGTAAGAATTTCTCACTCTTTTCTAAGTTTTCAAGATGTTATGTATTAAAAGAGGGGACATATGCAAGTGACAATATGGGAAACAATTGTGTAGAAAAGGCTTTTAATATCTAGAGCATATCTCAACCATATTCTGGAAACAAAAATTATTATTTGGTTAAATAATTATCATAATAGATAATGCTCATGTTGTGCTAATAGTTAATGCTAATCATAAGAGAAGTATTATAATTTCTTACAATATATCAGGTAGTACTTTAGGAGACTTGCCTAGTCCTCACAAAAAGTTTATGAGGTAAATACTATTTGTATAATTACTTTCCAGATAAGAAAATTGTTGGTGCTTAAAATATCAGTTAATTAACTTGGTTAAGATTATTGTGGATAACAAGTAGCTCGAGTGATACTCAAACCCAAGGCATTCAGCTCAATACAGCTATTGCTCAGCTCTTCCAGTGCACGGATGAGTGTTCTTGCCCACAGATGAGTGTTCTTGTCCAAGTGACTCAGGATGGCATATTCAGAGTTCCATCACTACGTGGTGAGCCGGACTATAACTGCAGCATGCACACATTGTCCAGAGCACAGATCATGAAGTTCCTCATTCTTGGGGCACTGTCGCTTCTTTTCACACACTCACAATCGGAGTGCAGCAGGATGTTGAGGCTCCAAATGGTACCAACTGTTAAATAGTTCATTATAGATTATAGATCTCTGTAGAGATTTAAAAATGTCTCAAACATACAGCAGACTGAGGAATATTCTTTCTGTGGTATCCATATCCTCCTCCTTTTTTACTGCTACTTTTCTATAGATAATCAGCGCTGAGGTAACTATATCATAAGACAACCCACTATCTTATACTCTTTTATTGAAAATACTGTGACCATCTGAAAATAGTGTGATCAAGTAAACCAAAATGTATTACAAATTTGAAGATTAATTCTAATTTTAGACCATTTGAGTAGAATAGTGAAGGCAGAATCAGTGAAGCATACCCAGGCCACCAGCTCACACAGTTTCCTTAGAGCTCTCCCATCTCCCCTTGGTCTCTACCATGATCTCCTTGGGACCTGAATACTTTCTATGGTCTCCCATTGGCTACTGTACCAGAGGCTGATCCCATGGACCACATCACCTGGCTCCCAGCAGAGCATCTGAGGGCAAGAAGATGAAACCACAGCCCTACTTAGCTCCTGACTCCCACATTCTAGGGCTGGCAGTGGCTGCTCTCTCATGTGGCCTTTGCCCGAGCTTTCTTCCATGGCTCCAGTTTTCATGTAGTTCCAGTCTTTCTTCCTCTTTCCTCACAGGTCGAGTACAGGATTTCCACTGTTGCTAATCTGAATGCCTCCCTCTGCCTCCTTGGATTCTTTAGCCTTGCACATCTCAATGAATAATCCTTTTATTATTTATTTTTCAGTTAAAATCTTGAATGT